CGGCGGTCCTGGCACCGGCAGCGCGTTGCCAAGCCCGCCTGCCCAGGAAGCAGCTTGCAAAGACTCCCTTGAGCCAAAACCTGGCAGCCAGTTTACATGGGAACCCGAGCAGCCCACGCCTCTAAGGCCCACCGCTCCCAAGCCCCCTAGCCCCCAGAGCCCATCAGGGAAGGACCCCAACAACCTCAGCGCGCTGTCCCTGAGCTCAGTGGGCAGTAACGAAAGGGCAAAAGGTCCTGTGCCCTTCCCGGATTTGGTGCAAGCCACGTGTGACAACAGCAGTGAGGACAGCGGGTCCAGAGGCCACCCTCAGCTGAGCCTCGGCGAGGCTTCGAGTCCAGAAGAAAAGGAGGAGGAGGTAAGGAAAGGGCAGGGCAGGGCCTCTTGTACCCTCCCCGAGGCAGGACGGGTGCTTGGGACAGCGCCCCCTTCGTCCTCGCTGGAGGTTGCCCAGGTGCACACGTGCTTTCCTTTGCGTTTTCTCTTTTTCTTTAACTTAACCACAGGAGCAGGCCGACTCTGCTGATTGTCCTACCATTACAATTGTTCTTGTCAACCTGCTGCTTACCACATTCAGCGGTCATCTTTATCTCTTTTGAAATGAATGACTAATGTAGGGAATTTCTTGGGATGGCACTTACCACACCATATATTCAAAAGATATTTATTGAGAACCAACTATGTGTTAGATTGGGGGTGGGGGTGGGGTAGTTGAAAAAGATCTGTCTTCCATTCCAAGCAGCTAATAGGGGCTCTCAAAATTTTTATTTTTGGTACATTTGTTATTACCCACATACTTCTCATTATATTTTAAATGGTTTCTGTATCCTTTTCAACTGAGTGCATATAAATGAGATTCTTTGTGTTAAGAGACCATTACGTGTTCTAAGTCTGTTTTACTTCCTGGGAATGAATTAGAAATGTGCAGTTTGATACCTGTCAAGCCCTGAGCAATGCTGGTTCAAAGCAACTTTTATGATGGTTATTGAACTTATTTTTAGAGGAGAACATAAGCATCTCATGAATTGAATCAGCTAATAACTGTCAAGGCTACAAAAGCAATGTTCTTTTCATATCCTATCAAGCCAGACAACTTACCTCACTGTATAATTTTCACTTTATAAATGCATTCGGTAATATTACCTTACAGAGCTGAAAGATGAGCAAATGCATTCATGTGTATATATTGCAAATTATTCTTCACATATATTTCTAGACTGTTTTACAGGTGTAAATTGGTGCTTGCCATAGAAAATAATCCCCTAGCAACTATTTCTTCCTCTGATCCCTAAAGAGGAACTCAGTTTTGGATTAATGCTGCTGATAAATGATTATGCTACATCTTTTGGAAGCTGGAGAGCTTTTGGAGTGTCCATTTAAAAAAAAATCTTTATTGTTGAAAGTATCACATATGTACCTCCTCTTTTATCCCCCCATTGATCCCCTCCAGCCCGTCCCTGCCCACCCCCTCCTGCCCCAGGCCTTCACCACCCTATTGTCTGTGTCCATGGGTTATATAATATGCATGCAAGGTCTTTGGTTGATTTGCTCCCATCTACCCACCCTCCCTTGCCTTCCCTCTGAGATTCCACACTCTCTCCCATGCTTCCATGTTCTTGGATCAACTCCATTCATTAGTTTATTTTGTTCATTAGATTCCACATATGAGTGAGATCAGGTGGTACTTGTCTTTCTCTGACTGCCTCATTTCACTTAGCATGATACTCTCCAGGTCCCTCCATGCTGTCTCAAAGGGTAAGAGATCCTTCTTTTTTACTGCTGTAT